GAAAGAAGCAAAAGCAGAATCAGACGCGGAATTCATACTGTGAAGGATGGATTCCTGCTCCTGGATGTTGATTGGCACTTCTCCAAGCTCAAACTGGCCTCCAATGGTGATGAAGATCAAGCTAGGGCACTTGGAGACTCTTGTTCGTCGCTTTCTCTCTCTAGGAATCGCTCTATCTCTCTCAAAACTCGAATCCCCTTCTGTTTTGGCTGAAATCTGCTTAAAAGGGCATCAGTGGGCAAAACACGGTCGAGGGCACGGCCGTGTTTTGCCTCAGCCCGCCCGTGTTTTGGCAAGGTTTAATTACACGGCCAGACTGTTGGGGAAAACACGGGCGTGCTTTTGGTGGACACGGCCGTGCTTTTCCTCAACCCTGCCCGTGTTTTGAGCTCGTGCTTTTTAAACTCAGATTATCTCTCGACAGTAAAAGCACGGCCTAGGAACACGGCCGTGTTCTGCTTTAGGTGTGCCCGTGTTTTGACTCCAGCTTCACCGAATGACTTCCGAATGCCCCGAAACTCGTGCTTAGCCTTTCCTTCGACGCCTGGGACCTGAAATATGACAAAATAGCACAACCCAACGTAAAATAGGCAAAAAATACACGACTATGCCCCTCAAACGGATAAGAACTAGGGGCACAAATATGTGCAATTACATCGTTATCAGTAGTATAGCGGGTTTGGGTTTTAATGTCTACCCGGGTCCTAGATATGATGACTACTTAGCAAATTCTTATTATCTAGCGGTGAAACTTTAGTGCAGGTTCAAACAAGCAAAACAAGCAATGCAATTAAACGGTTGTTTTCAAGTCGAGAGAGGTCACCCGGATATGGTTCCCTCTAGACTACAGTTAAGCCGGATTGTAATTTACCAAGTTCAGTTTTAATGATAGTGATAATGCGGGAGGTTCTTAAACAGTCTGAAGTCTCGACTAAAGGTCTCCAGACCCTCTCAATCTGAGTCCCCAGCGGGCGACTAACCTCCACGGAGTAAACAGATTAAAGCCCTAATGAACCAAACCTCCACTATCGAAGTAAATTCGGTACAGAATAGTGAATTGGCTCCTCGACTAAAGTCGCCAATTCACTACCTTCAATTAAGGGTGCTCTATCAACCTAGGCAGATATTCTTTTTCTAGGTCAGAGCAGAAATAACAGGAATTTCATTTCATGCCATTCAATCATTCAAACCTCAATTGAATATAATCAAATCATAGAATCTGTACTTGGGTTCATACAATCAGACCTAACATACAAATCTAGGGTTCTCCATACCCAGATGAATAAGAAAACTACTCCATAGAGAGAGATGGAAAATCTAGCTCAGATACGGAAACCATACTGTGAAGGATGATAATCTGCTTCTGGCGCTCAATCGGATCTTCTCCAAGCTCAAGCCGGGCTCCAATGGTGACGAAGATCAAGCTAGGGCACTTAGGAACTCTGGTTCGTCACTTTCTCTCTCTAGGAATCGCTCTATCTCTCTAAAACTCGGAACCTCTCTTCTTTGGCTCAAATCTGCCTAAAAAGGCCGACCCTGGGCAAAACACGGTCGAGGGCACGACCGTGCTTTGCTTTTGCCCACCCGTGCCCTTGCCATGTGTTAAAAACACGCCCGCGTTTTGGTGAAAACACTGTCGTGCCTTAAGTTGGACACGACCGTGCTTCTAGTCACTCCCGCCCATGTTTTGGGCCAGCGCAGGACAATCTTTGATCAAGCCTCGGCAGTAAAATCACGGTCCAGGAACACGACCGTGCTTTGATTTAGGCGAGCCCGTGCTTTGGCTCCAGCTCGACCGAATGACTTCCAAATGTCCCGAAACTCGTGCTTAGCCTTTCCTTCGACGTCTGGGACCTGAAATATGACAAAGTAGCACAACCCGGCGTAAAATAGGCCAAAAATACACGACTACGCCCCGCAAACGGATAAGAACTAGGGGTGCAAACATGTGCAATTACATCGTTATCAGTTAGCTAGGGGGAGCAACACCAGGATGAAGCTTTCTCAACTAGAGTCAAATCCATTTTATCTTTGCAAAGTAATTTAGTTTTAGACCTTTGTTTTCACCAAAACTGATATGCTAGATAATGCTTCATACAGTCGAAGTAGCGGTAAATGGATCGGTCCGGGTCGATATTTAAACATACTTGCCCTATATTGCACCCATCTAAGGTTTATACTTGGACCTTAGGTGGATTTTATTGTGATAGTTAGAGCGAGTCAAGTTTTTGGCACCGTTGCCAGGGACAACGGTCCGTTATCGTGAAGTGTTTGCTTGTGCTAGACGTGTTGTGTTCCTTGAGTGTGTGTAGGGAGGTGCATGAATCGGAGCAATATGGCACCTTTAATACCACTGGACGAGGACATCAACCGGAATCTCCGACTCTTAGCTCGAGAGAGGGAGCTAGTGGAGGCAAGAAGGAGAAGTGAAGAAAGGGGACAACAAGTTGGTCCCAGATTTGAAGGAGTTAAAGGAGAAGTTGAAGTTGAGTGGCGGCGAATCAACCACAAACATAATAATAAACTACCCCCCACACTTAAGCTCGACATTGCCCTCAATGGCGTAAGATAGGGGTAGAACGATGTTACTGCATGGCTTGGTGAGTGAAATTTGGAATTTTCCGGGGTAGGAGATTAGAGCTTCAAAGAGAAGACAAAAACAAACACAAACACATACTCGTTTGAGGCGAGGTTATTACACATAACAATACGATAGTAGAACATGTGAAACTTGCTAACCTCTGTTGGGTTGCCTCCCAACAAGCGCTAATTTAACGTCACTAGCTTGACGTTGCGGATCTATCATGCTTGAGAACATGAAGCCACCGAGAGTGGATCTGCCACGATCTCAGGGCGAGGCTTTTCGCCTCCCAACTTAAACTCCCTGGGGTGGCCTTCTTGGCCGATGATCTTCGGTTTGACCTTTTCCTTTCTCCAGGCAATAGTGTGATTCATCCTTTCCCTCCAAACTTTCTTCCTCCTTTCTTTGGGTGTGATACCCTCCTTGGTTTCCTGCTTCACATCACGACAAGGAATAACAGTAATAGTGGGGTTCACCTAGAGAGGCTCTCCTCCACTTGCATTCATATCATTCGATTCCACTTCCTTTACATCCTCACTCCTAGGCATAGGTTCAATTCTAAGTGTAATTTTCTCCTGGCCATCTCTTAGAATCAAAGTTCCCTCATTGACATCGATTAAAGTGTTGGTGGTGGCAAGGAAGGGGTTCCTAGTATGAGTGGCATTTCCGAATCTTAACTTATATCAAGGATCGCAAAATCCGTCGGATAACAGAATTTTCTCACTCGTACTAGCACGCCCTCCACAATGCCCCTTGGACTAATGACAGAGCGATCGACCAATGTGACACTAAGCCTAGTAGTCTTTAGTTCACCAATGTCTAGCCACTTGAAAAGCCTAAAGGGCATCACATTAAAGCTTGCTCCTAAGTCCACCAAGGAATTTTCTATGTAATGAGTGCCGATGCAAAGAGGTATGGTGAAACTACCTGGATCGGGTTGCTTTTTGGGCAACTTGTTGAGGATGAAGGCGGAGCACTCCTCGCCTAGGGTGACATTGGCGAGGTTTTTAAATTTCGGCTTCTTGGAGAGAAGCCCCTTGAGGTATTTTGAATACCGTGACATGTGGGCCATTGCTTCAAGGAAGGGAATGTTGAGGTGGATTTTTCTTAGCATCTCTATGAAACCTCCACATTCCGCTTCCAATATTTCTTTGTGCACCCTCGTGGTGAAAGGAAGGGGTGGTGTGTACTCAGCCACTGTAGGTGGCGTTGGAGATGCCTTCTTCGCCACTCCTCTCTCTCTTCTTCCGAGGTTTCTTCTTCTCCACCCTCGGGTAGAGGGTCTTCCTTCTCAATCACTTCTTTGACAACAACCTCCGGAATCACCTTCCCGCTTCGCAATTGAATCTCATTCACCCCGGCATGATCTTTGGGGTTTGCAACGGTTTTAGAGGGTAGGGCTCACTTTGGTCTTTCGTTGAGGATCCCAACAAGATTTCCAATTTTCACTACCAAGTTCTGGAGACTTGCTTGATGACTTCGGAGTCCCGCCTCAACCGAGGTAAACTTGGAGGTTGCCACATCCATGAATTGCTCAATCTTCTCGAACTTATGAGAGTCGTGCTCATAAAGGTGGTCACTAGATCTTCAAGTTTAGCAAACTTGTTGATTGGTTTTTGTTGTTGTTGGAACCTTAGACCACCTTGTGCTTGGTATGGTTGTTGAAAGTTCGAGTTTTGGAATTGAGGCCTTTGTAGGATGAAAGTTGGGCGAGGTTGATAGTTTCCAGTTGGACCTTAGAAACCGGGAGGTCTTGGATTGGTAGGGGAAGACCAAGCGAAGTTTAGATGGTTACGCCACCCGGGGTTGTAGGTGTTGCTATAAGGGTAGTTCCCTCTAGCATTGGAAATGAAACTCACTTGCTCCTCAGGTGTACTTGTTTCCTTCACTGCTTGGCAATCCACAATTTCATGATTAGTGCTAGAACACCAATCAGAAGACATCACCGCTCTCTTTCCTTGCTTCTTGTCCTCAAAGATCACCCCAATCAACTTGTCAAGCTTAGCTTCGAGTGGAGCACTTGCTCCCACAGTTTGCACTCCTCTTTCGGTGCTTCTTTTTCCACTTCTCGTCAAACCCCAATCGTATCCTTTGATAGCCATGCCTTCGAGCAACTTGGTTGTTACACCCCGCTATTTCTAAAATTCAAATGACTATTATACCCTTCGGGAATTCATTAAATTTCACCGTAGTATTTAAGAGTACTCAAATAGTGAACTAATGGTTCGAACGATGTCGAATTTCGATATAAAACGACGAAGTCATTGACGTGGACCGGACTTTGGATTGGGTTTTGAGGTTGGAACAAGACCTAGTCAAAGGCCTAGGTCGAGTGGGCCTGATCTTGTGGTCAAGGGGCAGCCCTGTTTGGAATAAAAAGGGAAATGGGCTTAAGCCCGTTCTTGTTCCCTCTGCAGAATGACGAGGGGAAATACGGAGCAGCAGAGCAGAAACGGAAATTGAAGCGGTAGAGTTTGACGGGAGAAAATTTTGAGGGGCGGGGTCTCATAACGGAAGAAATTACGATGGATCTTCATTAGGATTAAATAGGGATTATTGGGTGAGTGATTAGGATCATTTAGCTACTATTAAGTTACGTGCAAGAGTGGAGCGTAGAGGGGATAAAAGAACCAGGCCCTCTGTGTTTCGGAGGAACCAAACGAACGAAGTTAAGAGGGAGAGAGGAGCTTGGCGACGGTTCCGACGATCTGAATGCGGAATTGCAATAGAAGGAGCAAACGACGACTATGATGGTACCAGCAGTGTGTGGAAGACAGACGCCTTGACACCGGATGAACGGCTAGGTAGATCCGAAGCAAGAGCTCCAACAGGAGCCGAAGGTGAGAGGTAGATTGTCGCCGGCTAAGGTAAAATCGATCAGGGTTGGAGAATCAGTTGCCCGCAGTGGGAAGTCCAGGGCTTCGGTGTCGAGCGGTGGGAGCAGCTTCCTGATTACGATTGGTTAGGTAAGGTATGAGATTTTCTTTCCTCTCCGATTGGATTAAATTTATCAAGTGTCGGTGATGTTTGGAAGACGTGCATATATGGCTTCGTGGGTAGACTTTGAAGTTGGATTGGGGATGAGAACAATTGTAATGGGTTGGTGGAAACTAAATAGATATGAGCAGACTTAGTGAAAGTGAATGGTTATGGCAGTGTATGGTTATCATGTAAATTAGCTAATGGGATTTATTTTTGGAGAATGATTGTGGGGTAAATGACAAAGTTGGCATAGTAATGGTGGGTCAACTTGGGATTAAAGTTAAATATGATGGATGGGTATTCTGATGATGGAGTTTTATCTTCATTAGAGAATTATTGGAGCAAAGTTATGGGGTCTATTCAAAAGAGGATCAAAGCTGGTGGTTGATAAGTCAATTGATGTGAGTAATCAGGTGAGTGTAAAGTGGGTAAATTCTACGCCTTACATGTTCAAGTATTTGCTTTACGTGAAGTGTGTGTGCACTGTTTGATTTATGATTGTGTTGATTATGCATGCTTCGATTTGAGTTATTGTTTGGAGCATTTCAATATCTACGTTTAAGAATTTAAGTTCATGTTCTTATGACGGTTAAGAACGAGTATTTTTAATGCTTCATCGTTTACTAAGTTATGGTGTTAAGAGTAAGACATAGTCACGAGTAAAGATAAATAACCTCGCTTAGCTAGCCACTAGCTAGACAGATCCCTACCGAACGGTGATAAGTTCCGTGGTAGTTGATCACTACCGGATGGTGATACGTTCCACGGTAGTTGGTCAGGCTTGGAGCCGGACGGTGATGAGTTCCGCGGTTTCCATTGCCTAGGTTTAGGTGTGCTACCGGATGGTGATACGTTCCAAGGTAGTCACGTCGTAGTTTGACACCGGATAGTGATTTGTTCCGCGGTGGTCAAACCCATTTGAGGGGCACCCCTTGGCGAGGGTAGCCATGTTTAAGTAAGTAAGTAAGAAAGTAAGTAAGGCTAGTAGTGGCGCCAGCTAAGTCGAGATAGGGGTCCCATAATAAGATAAAGGAAGAAATAATACGCTTTTAAGAGTTAAAGTTTAAAAGGCGGAAGTACACACAACTTCCATAAGTTTAAGTAAGTGTTTTAAGCAAAGTGCTCAAGTACTAAAAGTAATAAACGTGAAGGCGTAGATTGACCCCATCTCACTCACCAGTTTGAAGAGCTAGAGGAGCTAAAGGAGCAATTAGTGAGCGGCGAGTTCGAGGGCAGCCAGCTAGAGGAGGGCAGTATAAACGTCACGGAGGATGCTTAGTCAAGGTTTTCAGTAGCAACAATATTAGAGATTATTATTTATTTACATTTATGATTATGAGTATAGACTGGAGATCATTTTGAGAATTTAAGTTTTGAGTTTGCCCATTTGTTAGGGCACTGCATTGAATTACAAGTGTGTGTTTTCAGTATTTTATTTATGAAAAATTTTCCCACTGCAATTTATTATTTGAGTATTTTATTTATCAATGACATTTTAGTAAAAGTAGTACCAGGCCGGGTTAGGGTGTTACATCGGTCACCTGAGGTGGAGTCATGTTCGTCAACCTCCCTTGGCAAAAAGAATCGATGAGAATCTTGTCATGTTGAATGAGACCGCCATAGAAAGTTTCTATCCGAAATTGTTCCTCGAATCCATGGTGAGGGCATTGGAGGAAGTAGTCCGAGAATCTTTCCCATGCATCCCTCAATGTCTCATCTTCCTCTTGCTCAAAGTGAGTGAACTTCTTCCTCCACTCGGCCGTCTTGGAAGGAGGACAATATCGGGTCATAAACTTATTGAGCAAATCATCCCATGAGGTAATTGAGCGAGCCGGTCGGTTGTTGAGCCATCGAAGCGCTTTCCCCGCAAGAGAGTAGGGGAATAGCCTCAGTTGCAATGCCTCCGCAGGGACACCATTTATCTTCAAACTTCCCGCAAGCTTAAGGACCCTCTGAACATCGTTATGAGGGCGAGCTTGATTTCAAAGTTGTTGGCGGCCACGGGTGGATGTAAGATGGGAGATTGAATATCTGCTGCCGGTGGAGCCATGTAGTACCCATAGTCCTTGGTTCATCCTCAGCTCCCGCTTCCTCATTTGGGTCCGGAGGCGGCTTAGCACCTTGTTGTTGACGCCATCTCAACTTCAATTTCTACTTCAACTCCTCTAACTCTCGGACCAACTTGATGTCCCATCTCTTCAATTATCATTCTTGCTTCCGCTAACTCCCTCTCACGAGCCAAGAGTCATAGAGTGCGGTTGAGGTTCTCGTCTAGTGTTGCTAAAGGTGTCAGATTGCTCCGGGTCATACACCTCCTTGCACACAATCAAAAGAACCACAACACGTCCAGCACAAGCAAAATCCACACAAGCAAAACTAAAAATAAAACCTAGATTAACACCAAACAATATTTTCAAGATAACGGGCCTAAGCTCCCCGAAAACGGCGCCAAAAACTTGACTCATCCCCAATATCACACTTAAATCCAACCTAAGGCTCAAGTATAAACCTTAAATGGGTGCAATATAGGGCAAGTATGTTTAAATATCAACCCGGACCGACCCATTGATTCGGGGCCAAATGTACACATTTTATCACCTCTTTCTTGTTCATTTAGCTTACTAAATCACAGTCCCTCAACCTATTTTATGATATGTTGTGCTTGTTTTGGTACATTTCAAGACCTAGCACGTGTGGGAAGGTCCGGGACGAGTTTCAGGTCATTCAGAGGTCAAAACGAGCCAAAAAGTGGAGGTTGAGCCTTGTTCACGGGCTGGAGCTTCAGTTCACGGTCTCTATGACCGTGAACAGAAGGCCTAGACCGCGAAGTGACCAATTTCCAGAACGGTTTTGCAAGTTACTGACCTCAAGTCAGTTCATGATCTAAGACCGTGAATTGAAGCCCCATGCCGTGAACTGGGCCCTATCGGACAAATATAAAGACAACAGCGGGGAGAGAGAAAGGAGAGCTGGTTTTTAGAGAGGAAATAGTTTCTTTCTCTAGGGTTTCGACCCAAAACACCAAAGGGGAGTTCTAGAGAGAGAGAGAGAGAGAGTTCTTGAGTGATCTTGGAGCTTAATTGAAGGCATTGATCAAGCTTGGAAGCAAAGAATCAAGCCTAGAAAAAGAAGATCTTGGGCTCCAATTTTTAATCTCTCTCCTCTCTCTCTAGAAACTCACCCCTTCTCTTGGGTTTAAGAACCATAGATCTAGATTTTGTGTCATTTTTGGTGTATGTGACAAATTCTATCTTTGATTGATGAATTTATCTATTTGATGGATGTTTGGTAAGGGTTGAATGAGTTTGGTTTCCTTGACTTGTCAATTGCGCTTTGACCTAGGAGGGAGAAATATCCTTAGAGCCCCCTATTGGCGTCTTCGGGTCACTCTTATCGTATATTTTAGGGGTAATCCCCGAGGGAGTTGATTCCATTGGTCTCCCTGCAATATATGAAACCCTAGGTTGATTAGAGCTCCTACCCATCCATCACTTCACCGTTCCGGGTCCGTCTCGAGTGAGTCAATCTCATAACGGTAGGATAGTGAATCGATCGAGTTAGAATAGTACTCAACATCGATCCAAAGGCTAGAAATAGGGAGAATTTAACCCAAGAGAGCTCCCAAACCTTGTAAATAGTTAGGTTAGTGGTTAGCTAGGTTAGTTAGTTTAGTCTTTCCTAATCACCACCCTAGGTTGGCTAGATAACAAACCCTAAACCTGAAGTAGGGTAAGCCTAGATCCCCGTGGTAGGATAAATTCTTATTGCTTGCTTTCCCTATGCTACACTCGATCGGCGATTATACTTGGCCTTCGATTGGGATGTTGTAGTTAGAACTAGTCAAGTTTTTGGCGTCGTTGCCGGGGAACCATTCTAGGTTATTTGAAAATGGGTTAGGTCGTTACTTTAGCCGTTTTGTTTTTATGTTTTGTGTTGTTGACCCATTCTTCTCTTGAAGGGTGGTTTTTTTGTTTGATTTTTTTGTGTGTGTAGGTTTTGAATCATGGATCCTTACGACTTCACCGACATATGGGGGTATCCACCACCACTTGAGAGTGGTTACCCCAGAGCTTCATGGGACGAGAAAAATGGGGGAAACCTAAGATCTGGGTTCTATTACCAACCCCCCCCCCCTTCCAAGAGGAACAAACATACCAATGGGGGTATCAAGAAACTTCCCCATATGAAGAAAACTACCCTCCTCAAACCGAGGAGACATCCAAGTTGGAGTTGGCTTTCATGGGGCATACCTCCGCGAACTTGGATCTCCCCCAATCCTAAGTGAAGTCTAAGTTGGATCTTTCCATGGAGAAATTTGAAAGAACAAGCTCTAACAGTGATTTCCAACCCCTCCCTCCACCTGATTTGACTCTTGAAGACAAGGTGGAACGAGCTTGTGCAAACTATCGCCTCTCATCATTGAAGGAGAAAGCGGAGGGTGAAGGAGCGATCAATGACAACTCTGTGGAGCAAGACAGACTCTCCCCTAAGAGCTCCCTTGGTGAGGATGAACTAGAAGGTTGCATTGATGACTTTCACACCCTTCCCGAAAGCCACTTTGAAGACCAAGTCACGAGTGTGGAGGAGCAAGAGAATCCTTTCTATGATCTTGCATGGCATCTTGTCCTCCAAACCGTGTTTGAGGACATGAATGGGAAGGAGAAAGAAGAGGTTAAAGAGGAGGAAGTGAGCATTAAAGAGGAGGAAGATCTTGGTTGTTCTCAAGGGGAGGAAATTGGAGAAGAAGGAAGGGAGGTTGATGAAGAAGGAGAAGGAGCAAGTGGTTTCCAAGATGAGGAAATGGTCAAGGTCGATGAAGCATCCACAAGTTACAAGAGTTACCAATGCTTTCAACCGGACCTTGATGCGCTTTTAGAGAAGGACCCAATTGCGGCTCTTTGCCAAGCCAAGGACAAACCATAGGCGATCCCTCTTTGTGGATATGATGGAAGTAAATGGAGTTTGCACTACATGGTATGGGGTAAGGAGATGAAGAAAGAAGGAAAGAAGGAGAGGTCTCGTCGGTGGAGCCTCATGAAAACTCAAGTTCAAGAGCCCTCAACTTCAAGGATGTTCTTAGGTGGACCGAAACTTGAGGAGCAACCGTCCGACTCACGACGTTAAAGAAGCACTTGGTAGGAGGCAACCCAACCATCATTGGTTTGTATCTCTTTTCCTTTCAATAAGACGACCATTGGAGAGATTTTGGTGGTGTTTTGCCATCTCCACGCTCTTCCGGATCTCACCCTCCCTCCACTCCCGAACACCAACATTGACCACTATCCGGTAACATCGTTCTACCTCCTTATTTTATGCCATTGAGGACAATGTCGAGCTTAAGTGTGTGTGTGTGTGTGGGGGGGGGGGGTAGTCAATTATGCATGTGTGTATGAATGTTTGGTGTGATTTGAATGCTTGGAGAATAGTTGTATGCCTAAATTTTAAAAAGTTGAGGGCTCCAAGCATAGCAACTTCTACGTTTGCATGATCATAGAGGCACTTGTGTTGTTTTGTGTCGAATCTCGTGGTTATTAGAATGATCTATAAATGATTTGCTTGTGATTGTGTGCATCCTATTATGATGATTGAGACTTGTATTAGGTTTGTGCATAGGTTCATTTCTCATGTGCTTGTGAACCGATAGATGTTTAAAATCGATTACTTGCTTTTCACAGTTGCCTATGTGATAACGATGTATTTGAACGTGTATTTCTTATCCGTTTGTGGCTCGTAGTCGTGTATCTTTGGCCTATTTTACGATGGGTTGTGCTATTTTGTCACATTTAAGGTCCAAGACGCCGAAGGAAGGGCAAGGCACGAGTTTTGGGGCGATTGGTGAAACTGGGGCAAAAACACGGGCAGCCCACTCCAAAGCACGGTCGTGTCCCCCAAGCCGTGCTTTTTATGCCGAGAGCGTGTTGTGGTGGTTTCTGCGGAGTTCAAAACATGTGCGCCATTGACCCAAAACACGACCGTGTTTCTCCTTGGGCACTACCGTGTTTTGATCGGCGCGGGCGTGTTTTCAACACACTAGGAAAAAGCACGGGCGAACAAAAGCAAAACACGGTTGTGTCCTCGACCGTGTTTTGCCCAGTCTCGGGTTAAAAGGGTTGTTCCAAGCCAAAGAGAGGGGAATCCAATTTTTAGAGATAGAGAGCAGAAAACCTAGAGAGAGTGCGACGAACAGAACTTCAAAGTGCCCTAAATCGATCTTCAACACCATTGGAGCTCGGTGGAAGCTTGGAGAAGTGCCGATTAATTGCTAGAAGCAGATTGTCATCCTTCACAGAATGATTTCCACTTAGGTTAATAGAGCTCCCTTTATTAAAGGTAGTGAATTGACGACTTTAGTTGAGGAGTCGGTTCACTATTCTGTACAGGATTTACTCCAGTAGAGGAGGTTTGGCATGTTAGGGCCTCAGTCTGTTTACATTGGTGGAGGTTAGTCGCCCGTCGGGGATTCAGATTGAGAGGGTCTGGAGACCTTTAGTCGAGACTTCAGACTGTCTAAGAACCTTCCGCAATATAACTATCATTGAAACTGGATTGGGTTACAACTTGGCTTAACTGCAGTATAGGGGGAACCATATCTAGGTGACCTCTCTTAAACTTGGAACACAACATTTACTGCTATTGTTTGCTAGTTTAGTTGGAACTTCAATACACTTGAACCGCTAAATAATAAGAATCTCACGGAGTAGTCATCACACCTAGGACCCGGGTTGACATTTAATTCTAAACTCGCTATACTACGCATTAGTAGGTGGTTACACTTGGCCACTTTCTAGTGTGATAGTACAAGCGAGTCCGCCATTGCCGGGGACGACTAGATTGTTTAAGAAATTTAATTTCTGTTACTTTAGAATTTCTTTTCCGCATTGATTGTTTTGTTTTGTCCCACTTGTGCCTTCACGGGTTTGCTTGCTTGGCTGTGTGCAGGTAGTGTATGACCCGTAGCCAGTTGGGAGACTTACTACTGTTTGAACAGGATCTAGAACGCACTTGTCGCCAGCTTAGGAGACAGCAACGAGCAAGACTGGCAACGGAGGAAGTGCACGTCGACGGCTATCTGAGTAGCGACTCCGAGCAGGAGGACGAAATGGGCGATGAGCACAACAGGGTGAACATGAACCTGGGGCAGAACCAACCCATGGGGATGCCCAGGCAGGAACCCCCGGTGAATCAGGTTCTGGCCAATTATCCAGTACCTCAACCAGATGGGGCTAACCATCAACCACCCCCGTTGGGTTCTACTGTGGAGTACTACTACACTCCATGGATCGCCGACATCCGCCGCGTCATCCTGTATTCGCCCATTCCAGCAAATAATTTTGAGATCAAGCCATGTTGGATTCAACTGATAACATCCTCCATCCAGTTTCATGGCCTCAAGGATGAGGATGCGAGGGTGCACTTTTCCCGGTTCTTGTAGCTTACTAATGGGTTCAAGCTTAATGGTGTACCAGATGATGCAATCCGTCTTCACCTCTTCCCCCACTCTCTGGCGAGGCATGCAAAGAGGTGACTCGAGACCCAGCCACCATTGTCCATCACATCATGGGACGATCTGGCCGACAAGTTCATGCACAGGTACTATCTTGCCTCGAAGACCTCAGAGATTCAGCGGGAGATCAGTCATTTCCGCCAGGAGCCAAATGAGTCACTACGTGATGCCTGGGAACGGTACTCGGGATTTTTCTGGCAGTGTCCCCATCATGGCTTTAGCGATGCATTCACTTGGGGAACTTATACAACGCTCTATCTCTAGAGAGCCAGAGGGTGATCGAGTCTATATGCCCAGGAGGGGACATTCTCACTAAGACTCCACCCGAGTTGAATCAGATGATCAGTACTTTGGCTGCTAGAGATCATTCTTGGGGGAAGAGCACTAGAGCCAGGCACTCCCGGGATCGAGGTGTGCATTCCATGGAGGCTAGATCCGAGCTAGAACGGGAGGTGGACGAGTTGGTCCAGACATTAAAGCAGCCCAACAGTCTCATTCCGGGAAGAGGATTGGTTGGCCATTCCGTTGCACAGTGCCAGTGGTGTGAGAGCTCGAACCATTTGGTGGAAGACTGATAGGCTATGCGAGAGTCTTCTACACCCTAGGAGCAGTTGGACTTGATTGCCAATGCTTGGCGCCTTGATCCTTACAGTGGAACATATAATGAGGTGTGGCGCCAACATCACAACTTCTCATGGAATGGCAATAACACCACTACCACCAAGCCTCCAGTTTCCCAGATAGAGCGGGTGGTTTTCAGCAAAGGCAGCCTTTTCAAGCCCGACAGGGACCATTTCCACAACAGCAGCCTTATCAGCCCAGACTGGGACAACCTTTTCATTAGCAGCAGCGAAAGTTTGCCTAGCTGGCAGTAGTTATAGCACATGATGACCAGATGTTAGAGATAAAAAACACGGTGCAGACTTTTGTGAGCGCCAGCACAGCGAATTTCGCCAGGCAAACCATTGCATCACCTTACTGGAGGCAGGCCAGAGGAACCAGGGTGCCATACTTCTGGATCTCCAAAATTAGATTGGAGGCATAGCTCGCCAAGACAACACCAGAGCACCAGGAACTCTGCCTGCCACCACTATTCCAAATCCTCGCGAGCCTCACCATCAGTTAGATGCCATCACTACTCGAAGTGACAAGACGACATATGCTATCCCTGCTCCGTTCAGACAGGAAGAACCAACACCTACTTCAGCACTTCCAGCTGACAAAGAAGAGGTGGGGATCGAGAAAAAAGCACATGCTCCCAAGCCACAACCAATGGTTAAAGAGCATGTTCCCCAGCTTCCCTTCCCCACTCGAATGCACAAAGAGAAGCTGGAGACTGAGTTTGCCAAATTCATGTCAATGTTGAAGCAGGTCAACATCAGCCTGCGGTTCATGGAGGAACTGTCGAAGATGCCCAAGTATGCCAAATTCATGAAGGATCTCCTCAACAACAAAAAGAAACTTGGGAATCTCTCGACAGTGATGCTGAGTGAGGAGTGTTCTGCCATCCTGCAGAACAAGCTGCCCGAGAAGTGCAAAGGTCCAGGGAGTTTTACTATCCATCTTGTTATTGGCAGCATGCATGTAGGAAAGTCCTTTGCGGACTTAGGCGCTAGCATTAATGTCATGCCCTATAAAATGTTTAAGAAGCTAGGCCTAGGTGAACCTAGAACCATTAGGATGAGCATTCAGCTAGCTGATTGCTATATTGTGCATCCTAGGGGTATCATAGAGGACTTTCTTATTGACGTGGATGCATTCACATATCCAGTTGATTTTGTTATTCTGGATATAAATAAGGATGTGGATGTGCCTTTGATTTTGGGTAGCCCATTTCTCGCCACTGCCAAGGCGCTGATTGATGTGCATAGTAGTAAGTTAATCTTGCGGGCTGGGGATGAACATACTACATTTTCTGTGTCCGATAATGCAAAGCATTCCCATTTGCATGATGACTTGGATTACTGTGATATGGTGGCTGATTTCGAAACCACACTCGCCATTACGAGTGCGGGTAATGACGATGCCCTTGAGTGTTGTATTTTGTTAGGTGAGCAGGCATCGCAGGAGCTACAGTTGGAGGAGCAGCTAGCCGCTCTAGAGAGTGGCGAGTTTCTGGAGGTTGACAAGCAGTTCAAATCGATCTCATCCTCTCCTCGCATCACCACCTCTCTAGAGGAGCCACCAGAACTGGAGCTAAAGCCCCTCCCTCCTCACTTGGAGTATGCATTTGTCTGGGAGGGGAACAAGCTTCCAGTCATCATTAGCTCGACCCTCACATTCGAGCAGAAAACTAGACTGGTGGCCCTGTTGAGTCAGTACGAGCAAGCTCTGGCATGGAAGATCACTGATATATGGGGGATCAGCCCTTCTTTCTGTTCCCACCGGATACTGCTAGAGGATGAGATGCTGCCAGTGAGGCAGCCCCAGCGGAGACTGACACCGAACCTTGAGGCAGTGGTTCGGGCAGAGATCATGAAGCTGATGGACGCGGAGATCATCTTCGCAATTTCTGATAGTGAGTGGATCAGCCCCACTCAGGTGGTGCCTAAGAAGGGCGGGATGACCGTGGCACCCAATGAGAAGAATGAGCTCATTCCAATGCGCACGGTGACCGGGTACTGCGTCTGCATCGACTACCGTTGCCTCAACGACACCACCCAGAAGGACCATTTCCCGCTGCCTTTCATTGACCAGATGCTGGAGAGGCTGGTGGGACACGAGTTCTACTGTTTCCTGGATGGGATGTCCGGGTATTTTCAGATCCCCATTGCACCGGAAGACTAGGCGAAGACCACCTTCACCTACCCTTTCGGCACATTTGCTTACCGGAGAATCCCATTCGGGCTTTGCAATTCCCCAGCCACATTTCAGCGATGCATGCTCGCCATCTTCGACCGACCGGTCGGAGAAATGGAGGTGTTCATGGATGAATTTTTTGGTTTATGGGGACTCATTCTCTCATTGTCTCCATAACATGGAACTCGTCCTGAAACGGTGTGAGGAGACGAACCTGGTGCTGAGTTGGGAGAAGTGCCTCTTCATGGTTCGCGAAGGCATAGTTTTGGGGCATACAATCTCCAAGATGGGGATAGTGGTAGACAGATCCAACATCGGGACTATCAGCAAGCTGCCTCCACCCACATCTGTTAAGGGGGTCCACATTTTCTTGGGCCATGCAGGGTTCTATAGGCGGTTCATAATAGACTTCTCCAAGATCGCCTTGCCCCTGACAATGCTCCATGAGAAGGATGCCCCCTTCCAGTTCACTGAAGCGTGCACAGCGGTATTCACGACCTTGAAGGAGAAGCTCACTCATGCTCCTATCATGGTCACTCCTGACTGGTCTTTACCGCTCGATCAGATGTGCGACGTCAGTGACTTTACTGTTGGAGCTGTTCTGGGGCAAAGGCGAGATTAACACTTCCGTCCTATTTACTACGCCTCGAAGACCCTTAACGATGCCCAGGAGAACTACACCACCACGAAGAAGGAGCTGCTAGGGGTGGTGTTCGCCTTTGATAAGTTTCGTCCTTATCTAGTCTTGTCCCATGTGACAGTATACACGGGTCACTCCGCAATACGATACCTAATGAGCAAGGCCGATGCCAAGCCTCGGCTTATACGATGGATCATATTACTACAGGAGTTCGACATCAAGATCCGGGACAAGAAGGGAGCCAAAAATATTGCTGTTGATCATATCTCCCGGTTGGATGCACTTCCTGCAGACAACCTCGAGGACGAGATCAACGACTCCTTCCTAGATGAGCGACTAATGATGATGTGCTTGGTGGAGAGTGTCACCCCTTGGTACTCCGATTTCGCAAACTATCTGGTGGGCCAGCAGCTGCCCAAGGGGATGACGACTCACGCCAAGAGGAAGTTCTTCTCCGACCTGAAGCACTACTTCTGGGATGAACCATATCTCTTAAGGATCGGAGCGGCGGGGTCATCCGTCGATGTGTCATGGAAAATGAGATGGAGGGCATTCTGTGTCATTGCCATGAGGGGCCTACTGGCGGGCAACATGGCGGTAACCGGACGGCACGGAAGGTACTAATGTCGGGCTTCTACTGGCCTTCACTCTTCAAGGATGCCGACACCTTCGCGCATAGGTGCCTTGCCCACCAGTGATGCTAGACGTGTTTGTCAGTTTCTAAAGCAGCTGTTCTCCCAGTTCGGGACGCCTAGGGCCATCATTAGCAAGCGAGGGATCCATTTCCAGGGATAGTTGATAAATTACTCTCTCGCTATGGTGTCACCCACAAGGTTTCCGTGGCCTACCACCCCCAAAGGAGTGGTCAGGCCGAGCTTACGAATCGGGAGCTTAAGCGCTTACTGGAGAAAACGCTGGATCAATCTCGCAAGGATTGGTCCACCAAGCTCTATGATGCTCTCTGGGCATACCGGACTGCCTACAAGACGCCAATTGGTACTTCACCGTATCGGCTTGTCTGGGCCCTTAAGCTGCTCAACTTGGATGTTAGTCTTGCAGGTGCTGAACGCAAATTGCAGATGCTGGAGGAATGGCGTTACCACGCCTATGAAAACACCAAGCTTTATAAGGAGCGAGCTAAGCGTCTTCACGACACTCGTTTGAGGGGTCCGAAGGAGTTTAAGGCTGGCGATCGAGTTCTTCTCTATAACTCTCGCCTGAAACTATTTCCTGGAAAACTCTGCTCCCGGTGGTCTGGACCGTTCCCGGTCACACAGGTGTTCCCATATGGCACGATTGAGATTGCCAACCCGCAGACTGAGCCGTTTAAAGTGAATGGCCATTGTCTCAAGGGGAGACGAGGTCGAAAGTGCGGAGTTGGTAATTGAACTCGCAGAACCTTAGTTCCGCCATGGGCGTCCCGCTAAAAGACGGTAAAGAAGCGCTTTTGGGGAGGCAACCCCACCACGGTTTGCATTTCTTTCCCTTTTTCATTTTCGATTTTGTCGGTTATTTGAGTCATTGAGTTTGTCTGGAGTCTGTCAAGAAAGTATCTCGTGCCCAGGGCAGTGTGTTTTCCTTTATGGCTGTGCATTTTTCGAGACGGGGCACAGATGAGGTTTGGTCATTTGAAAAACGAATTTTGGAATTTTGCAGAAGCATGCTCGGCAGTAAAAGCAAGGGCGCCAGGGGTTCAAAACACAGCCGTGTTTCAACCCCTTCCCGCCCGTGTTTTGGTGTTTCATCATGCGCAGCCTCAACAGTAAAAGCACGGGCACTAGGGGTTGAAAACACGCATGTGTTTTGACCCCTATTCGCCTGTGTTCTGATAGACGGGGGAGCCGCGCCTCGGCAGTAAAAACACGGGCGCGGAGCACCAGAAACACAATCGTGTTCTGGGCACGCCCGTGTTTTACTCCCCCTTATAAAAATCTAAATCTGGCCCCTTCTCTCCCCATATTTCATTTTTTCAAATCCACTCTCTCTCCTCTCGTCGGAAAATCGGCCCTCTGCTCTTCTTTGGTGGTTTTCCAGCCAAAACTTTAGGGCTGGCTATTTGGTCCCGGACTGTTTGGTTTTACCCGAAACAGGACCGTATAACCCGGACCGGGACCGGACTGGGACCGGATAGCAAACAATGCAATCTCATATTCGGGCTTAGATTTGAGGTAAAAAACCGGATAAAGACCGAATAAGAGACCCCCAACACCTAAAATCAAGATAAATTGGGACCGGACCGGGTCAAGACCGGACTGTATCCAATCCAATCTTTGGTCCTTATATTCCCGAAAAGACCGGACTGGGACCGGATCAATTTGGTCCAATTTAACCGGACCGGACCGTATAGCCACCCCTACAAAACTTCCTCCCCCGACCTCCAAATCAAAAACCGAGACAACCACTACGCTCCTGGCATCGAGGAGCACATTCCCCAGAAGTTTAGTCCTGTTTGGCGGAGGTTGGGTCGCCGGCAGCGAGTCTCCGGCGAGTTCTCCGGCGATTTTGGAGTGCTTTTTTTCTTCTCTTCCATTTCCTTGTGGTATCTACTTGCGTCTCCAGGTGTGTTTCTCGTTTTATCTTGTCCAATTTTGGAGAATTGGTACCAAGGTTTATATGTGAAGAACTTGAGATTTTGGCCTGAACTTTGATCTTTTTGGTGGCCTACAGCGTTATATGCTTGAAATTATTTTTCCCTTGAATTAGTTTCGCCGGCCTACCAATTGCATGTGTAGAATTGTGCCCTTGTATGCTTGGTTGTAAATTGCTTGGTGAATGGCCGATTGGATGGTTATTTGGGGTGGTTTGCTTGTTTGTTCCATCGGGAGCCTAGTCCACTGTCCAAATCTTTTGATTTGAGGACTCCTGGTGTGGTTTGCATAACATTAACCCACTCCGCTGTGTAGAATTTGTGCTTTCTGTTGCTTTGCAGGATGATGGAGGACTACCTGGACCACTTAAGCATTACTTAGCGCCACCACATGTGGGCCATCCGCACCTGCCATATCTCCTAGCACCTGCATCTGGACTTTGGAGTGTTCGAGGCGCTCCATGCTCGCTGGGAGATGGAGTCCGCTGTTCGCGCCTATGGTTGGCGGCGCCTCCTCTGCCTTGCTGAGCCAACCTACCAGGAGCTCGTTTGGGAGTTCTATGCTTCCTTCTCCCATTCACAGAGGAAGTCGGCTGACCATGCTGACGCCGTCCGTTTCACACTCGGCAGGGTCGAGCACTCTGTCAGTTACTGGGAGTTGGCTGCTGCACTTGGTCTGAACAACCCCCACTCTAGCGATCGTGCATTGATCGTGGAAGAACGAGCAAATTCTAGCTGGCCAGGAGCACATCCACGCCCGCCTCGATCGTGAGCGGGACTGCGGCCGCTGTCTCTTGTCCGGCCAACACTACATCATGCATTATCTGGGCCTGGACCAGAACTTGATCCAGTACCCCTTCGTGCAGTCACCGGGGCACGAGGACGACTACCTACCTCCCACATGCGATGGTGGTGATGTTTTCTAGTGGATATTTGAGGGTTATGTACTTCATTTCCTTTGCAGACTGAGACTCCCTGTTGTTTGTTGTTTCTTTCTTTCTTTTTCATTTGGATTATAGACATGGATCTATGGTTTCTTTCACCCAGTGTGTGTTTTCATGACTCTAGGTTTGTGCCCTTGGACGGGCTCCCTTCCAGTCCCCTTCTCTTGAGTGTGTGTTTTCACTCAGTGTATATTTTCATGACTCTAGCTTTTGCTGCCCCCGCGATCTCCGTTGTTGACCAGTTAGCAGCTATTGCTCATCAGAACGAGCAAATTCTAGCTGGCCAAGAGCACATCCACGCCCGCCTCAATCGTGAGCGGGACCGATGCCGCCGTCTCATGTCCACCCGGCACTACACCATGCATTATTTGGGCCTGGACCAGAACTCGATCCACTACCCCTTCGTGCAGTCACCGGGGCACGAGGACGACTACCCACCTCCTACAGGCGATGGTGGCGATGTGTTCTAGTGGAGATTTGAGGGTTATGTACTTCACTTCCTTTCCAGACTGAGACTCCCTGTCGTTTGTTGTTTATTTCTTTCTTTTTCATTTGGATTATAGACATGGATCTATGGTTTCTTTCACCCAGTGTGTGTTTTCATGACTCTAGCTTTGTGCCCTTGGACTGGTCCCCTTCCAGTCCCCTTCTCTTGAGTGTGTGTTTTCACTCAGTGTATATTTTCATGACTCTAGCTTTTGCTGCCCCCGCGATCTCCATTGTTGACCAGTTAGCAGCTATTGCTCATCAGAACGAGCTAATTCTAGTTGGCCAGGAGCACATCCACGCCCGCCTCAATCGTGAGCGGGACCGAGGCCACCGTCTCATGTCCACCCAGCACTACACCATGCATTATCTGGGCCTGGACCAGAACTCGATCCACTACCCCTTCGTGCAGTCACCGGGGCACGAGGACGACTACCCACCTCCCACAGGCGATGGTGGCGATGTGTTCTAGTGGAGATTTGAGGGTTATGTACTTCACTTCCTTTCCAGACTGAGACTCCCTGTCGTTTGTTGTTTCTTTCTTTCTTTTTCATTTGGATTGTAGACATGGATCTATGGTTTCTTTCACCTAGTGTGTGTTTTCATGACTCTAGCTATGTTCCCTTGGGCTGGTCCCCTACAGTCCCCTGCTCTTGACTGGTCTGCCTTCCAATCCCCATTCCTCTTCTTCATTTCACGGTAACATTGTTCCCCTTCCCTCTGCTCCATTGAGGACAATGTCGAATTTAAGTGTGGGGGGGGGGGGGTGCTTTGTCTTTATTGGAACGTATATGTGTGTGCTTAGAGCCTAGTCCGTTGTCAAAATCTTGACATTTGAGGGCTCCAAGTACTGATGTGTGCATGATCATAATGGCACTGTGGTTTAATTGCTGAATCGAATGGCTGTTAAAATTGATGCATGACAACTTGATTGTTACTAGGACAACCGTTAATGATGACTGAGATGTGCAGTAGAGTTGTGTAGGGTGTTCAGTTTTCAACTGTCTGCTTACCAATTGCGACTTGGATTGATCACTTATTTTTTACAGTCATTCATGCATCCAGTTCAGGGAATCAGAATGAGAGATAGAGCATATAGCCGTGTGAGATTTGAGCCCGCTCATTTCTTTCTTGTGCGATAGATCCCTCTTCCATGATGTGTAGCATTCACGTTGTCACTAATTAGGATGATGGAGGCATAGGAATAGCCCACGACCAAATTGACTGTCCTAGTGTGTCATACCCCCTAGTCATCCCCTTTGAGCCATGTCACTTTCCTTCTTTCGGTCTACAATGAAAAATAACCCTTTTGCATCTCTTAGAGGTTCCACATAGTGGTTTTTGCATGTTCTCTGCTGATTCTGTGAGAAATAATGTGAGGGTTGGAGGTAGTTCTTAACAGTTGGCCATGTGCTTCAAAAATGTGCAGAGGTGGTGGTTCTCTCAAGAAATGAAAAAAAAAAGAAAAAAAAAAGAAAAAATGAATGAAAGCAAAAGAGAGCCACCACCAAAAATCTGAATCATGCTTATTAGATGGTGTTTCTTAGCAGTCTGGCTTGGAAATACTAACAATATTGTGACCTCCTTCACTTTTGTGCTCTAAAGAATTAATACAGAATGGCAGAAAGTAAGTATTTGGTTTGAATGATTGTTGCTGTGATTGGTTTTGGAACTGTGGAACCTTGTGTATGAATACTTCCACCACCTAAAAGGCCTTTTCCCCATGTCCAAGACCCTAGCTAGTCATTTGAACCTATATCTAAGACCTCCGGATTAATTAGTGGTGACACCCAATATGTGAACTATAACATTTAGAGGTTGTCTTCATGGTGAAGAGACGTTAGGGATTGAGAGAAAAAGCATGCACATTTTTCGCATAAAATTAACCTGGCCCCACTGTTCGAGAGTGAGCGATTCATTTCCTTATATTCTCTATACTCTTTACCCCGGTGAGGACCTAGATTGCTCGGTCTTAATTCTGATGTCTTGAGTTTTATGCATGAAGTGACTGTCTTGGATAAGTTGTTGAGTCAAGTCTATGTTGGTTGGTGAACAGAAGAGAGACTATTCCTTTGCTCGACTTTGCTGCACTCGAATGTCATATGTGGTGGTTGTCTAGGTTGCCGTTGATGTTGTTCATGTGTTGATGACTAAAAGCTACTATGATTTGTTGGGATAGGAAGCTTCTCATAAGCAAATAGTTATGTATTATGCACAATGTGAGAGACTAATGGTTTGATCGAGATTGCAGAAAGAGAAGCCTACCTCTTATGCAGGCTATACAGAAAAGGAAGTTATCTTGACAAGGCATGTCAAAACTACTAATGAGGCATACTCGTAACCCTGCTGCTCAAGGACACGTCTCACATAAGAAAGCTTTAATGAATCCATGTACAGCTAATGAAGAATAATAGAGGAATTGAATTAAATGGGAAGTCCAACAGTTGGTGAATTTCCTGATGATATGGTGCCAAAGATTGAGGACTAGCATGCGGATCCATTACATGAATTAAACTTCCTTGTCTGCAGCAATCCATTGTCGAGAAAACGGAAGGAAAATAAAAGGATTTGAAGTCCAACGGCTAATAGAAGAGCAAGTATAAAAGGAGTCATGCCGAAGTAGAATGTAACTTTCCGAGAGATCAATACTACGATAGAGAGCAAAGGCTATCTGTTGTGGGTAGTTTGATAGGAAAAAGGGTTCAAGCTATCGGGGAGAAAGCTTGGGTTACGGTGTTGGAAAATATCGGGTTCTTGATCGACGGGGAGTTGATCAAGGGGATTGGACTGGATCGATTGGCTGGGTAGCTAACCGGGAGTGTTCATTTATATTCGAAGAGCTTCAACGACATATTCATTTAGTGGAACATCGGAGATCACACAACGTGATTCTCTGACCGTGGAGTAGTCAGTATTGGGATTCTTATTCTCCCAGTACTGGAAACCACGTAAAAATCGTGTGTCGTGTACCTACTCTGCATTTCAGTTTTAGTTCCGGCATCTTTTGTTTGTGTGCTCTGTTTCAGTCTTGATTGCATGGAAAATCGACCAGGACGTACGCAGGAAGGAAAAGCTCAAGAACGGGTCTGGTGAACTGATAAACGATTTGGTTTGATATAGTTTTCGTTTCATTTTCTGGGTTGAGTTTATTGTGTTCTTATTTGTTCTTGGTGTTATTTACTCTGTTTGTGGAACTTTAGCTACAGAGTAGCTTTTGATCGAAAATTGACAAAGAGGGAAATCAGGGAAATCTGTATGTGTTTAAAATTCAAACTCCATCATTTTGATTAGTCAAGTAGTTGGGGGCAAGCCAGTGAAACACAACGTTTTACTTGAGTTACAATTGTGAGTTGAAATTGGTTGGGTCTCGTGTAATTTTAAGGTGTGAAAGTTTAAATATTGGGCTTTGGGAACTAATTATAGATTGAGCCCATTACATATCCATTTTCGGCAAACACAAACTAACAAAGCTTGCTGAAGCTTCTCGATCAAACTTCCATTTCATTGAGAATCCTCACTTGTTCTTGCCACAAGGTTTCCCCTGGGTTTTGCAGGTGGCGTAATTGAGTACGATTAAGTGGAAGTGAGCCAAAGTAAAGAAAGGCGTCTCGCGCTCGACGCATCAACACGTGGTATCAGAGCCTAGCTCCGTCGAATTAGGTTTAACAACCTTCGAAGAAGCATAATGGCGTCGACGTCGGCAAACAATGGTTACCTCTTTCTCAGTGATGGGTTCTTGTTAGATCGGTGACACGCTACGACACAACTCCTAACAAAGGTCAAGTGTAACCAATGAAAGGGACTGCAGTATAGTGGCTCAAGTAATAAATATCGAATCCACGGGTCTCTAGAGTTACTATAACTCAGCTTCAGTTCATTATCTAGCAAACCAGATTAAGATGAAAGAACTAAAACTACTCTAACAAACTACAGTTAAAGTTAATCTAATTACAGGTTGGGAACTCACTTAGGTATGATTCCCCCTAGCCACTAGCCAAATTAATGATTGATGATCTCTAACATGTTTCACTTTCATTCACAATGCGGAGAATCCTTGACTAGACCTTGAGTCTCGACTAAAGGAACAAGGCCCTCTTGAGTCAATTGCCTAGAGGGACGTATCCTTCTCTAGAACAACCGATCAAGGAGTTCTGAACTAGAATCCCTCTATCTAAAGAGGTTCTCAATCAATACAAAGAAGTGAATCAACCTTCGACTAAAGCAATCGATCATATATTATCAATCTATGGTGCTCTATTGACCTAATCAGGTATTCGCTCTCATAGGATCAAAGCAGAATCAATAATCTCGACTAAAGCAAAATTGAATCATGAAAGCATGCATAGATTGAATATGAACTCAAGGTTATCAAGTCAGAGTACTCATACAATCATCCAATCAAACAAACATAGATAGGGTTCCTCAAAACCTAAGTGAAGGGAAGTTACTCCATAGAGAAGAGAGAGACTGCAGTAAGAATCTTCAGATGATCAGTCTTCAAGTCCGGGCTTGTTCCTCGAGCTTCCAAGGTGAAGAAATCCTGCAATTCCACTCTTAGAATGCCCTCAAATCGCCCTCTCTCTCTTTGGTTCGTCCCTTGGGTGTTTGGGATCCAAAACCCAGCTCCCCTCTTTCGAAAACGCACAAAACAG